TGATAAATTACGAAAGGAAATTGAAATTAAAAATCTCTTAAAGGCAACCCGTAAGTTTGAAGAACATTCTCTAAGAGATGAGCAGCATTTAGATGATTTAAAAAGAATTTCTTGATAAAAATTATGTTACACGAAAACCTCACAAGTTTGGAGATAATGGTTTAGAAGAAGATCGCAGGTGGGTTTCAAAAACTTTTAAAACAGGGCTATTAAGCATTTATTTCCTTATTTTCCTAGAATTATTGATTCAATGGACGAATTGTTGAAACGTGAAAGACCTAAAACGGAATCAATCACCGATATTAGAAGTCGTATTAAACATAAAGAACAGGAGCTTTTAAGCTTATTTGATCATTTTCAAAAGAAAACAGAACTTTTTGCTAACATTAATGTTTGAGATGTTTTCCTTGTTCTTTTATAAGGAGTAAACCATTTTGTTGATTTCATTATTTTTATGTTTTATTATTATTTTGTTTTGATATTATTTATAAAATTAAATTTGAATTGAATAACTTTATAAGTATTAAGGTTCTATTTAAAAGCGATCTAACACTTTCATAACCTGCTTTTCAATAGAGTAAAGAGGTCTGGGCTATAGTCTACAGTTGTCTGGACTCTATAGCATATCATCGTAATCCACATTAATAAATAGCCTATAATGTGAACTATAGATAGATATAGAGATAGATAGATAGATAGATAGATAGATAGATAGATAGATAGATGATAGATAGATAGACAGATATAGATAGATAGATAGATAATAGATATAGATAGATAGATAGATCGATATAGATAGATAGATAGATAGATAGATAGATAGATAGATAGATATAGAGATAGCTAGATGATAGATAGATAGATAGTAGATAGATAGATAGATAGATAGATCGATAGATAGCTCGCTCTCTCGCTCCTCGCTCCTAGCTCGCTCGCTCGCTCGCTCGCTCTCTCGCTCGCTCGCTCGCTCGCTCGCTCGCTCGCTCGCTCGCTCGCTCGCTCGCTCGCTCGCTCGCTCGCTCGCTCTCTCGCTCGCTCGCTCGCTCGCTCGCTCGCTCGCTCGCTCGCTCGCTCGCTCGCTCGCTCGCTCGCTCTCTCGCTCGCTCGCTCGCTCGCTCGCTCGCTCGCTCGCTCGCTCGCTCGCTCGCATCGCTCGCTCGCTCGCTCGCTCGCTCGCTCGCTCGCTCGCTCGCGCTCGCTCGCTCGCTCGCTCGCTCGCTCGCTCGCTCTCGCTCGCTCGCTCGCTCGCTCGCTCGCTCGCTCGCTCGCTCGCTCGCCTCGCTCGCTCGCTCGCTCGCTCGCTCGCTCGCTCGCTCGCTCGCTCGCTCGCTCGCTAGCATCGCTCAGCTCGCTCGCTCGCTCGCTCGCTCGCTCGCTCGCTCGCTCGCTCGCTCGCTCGCTCGCTCGCTCGCTCGCTCGCTCGCTCGCTCGCTCGCTCGCTCGCTCGCTCGCTCGCTCGCTCGCTCGCTCGCTCGCTCGCTCCGCTCGCTCGCTCGCTCGCTCGCTCGCTCGCTCGCTCGCTCGCTCGCTCGCTCGCCTCGCTCGTGCTCGCTCTCGCTCGCTCGCTCGCTCCTCGCTCGCCTCGCTCGCTCGCTCGCTCGCTCGCCTCGCTCGCTCGCTCGCTCGCTCGCTCGCTCAGCTCGCTCGCTCGCTCGCTCGCTCGCTCGCTCGCTCGCTCGCTCGCTCGCTCGCTCGCTCGCTCGCTCGCTCGCTCGCTCGCTCGCTCGCTCGCTCGCTCGCTCGCTCGCTCGCTACGCTCGCTCGCTCGCTCGCTCGCTCGCTCGCTCGCTCGCTCGCTCGCTCGCTCGCTCGCTCGCTCGCTCGCTCGCTCGCTCGCTCGCTCGCTCGCTCGCTCGCTCGCTCGCTCGCTCGCTCGCTCGCCCTCGCTCGCTCCGCTCGCTCGCTCGCTCGCTCGCTCGCTCGCTCGCTCGCTCGCTCGCGCTAGCTCGCTCGCTCGCTAGCTCGCTCGCTCGCTCGCTCGCTCGCTCGCTCGCTCGCTCGCTCGCTCCTCGCTCGCTCGCTCGCGCTCGCTCGCTCTCGCTCTCGCGCTCGCTCGCTCGCTCGCTCGCTCGCTCGCTCGCTCTCGCTCGCTCGCTCGCTCTCTCGCTCGCTCGCTCGCTCGCTGGCTGGCTGCTCCCCGCTCCCTTTTTTGTCCCCGCCCCCGCCGTTTCCCCTTTTCCCCTCCCCCTTTTCCCGCCCCTCTCCCGCCCTGTTCTCCCTCCTTTCCCTTTCCCCCTTTGCCGCTTTTCCCTTCTTGTTTTCCCGCCCCCCGTCCCCTCTCCCTTTCCTCCCCTCCCCCTTTTCTTGCCTTTTCTTTTCCCCCCTTTTTCCTCTTCCCCCCCCCTCCTGGTCGCGCTCTTGTCTCGCTTTCCTCTGCTTCCCCCTGGCTTTCTCCCTTCCCTGTCCCTTCCCTGCCTTTCCTGCTCCCCCCTCCTGTCTCCTTATTGGCTTCTAGCATAGGATGTTGAAAACTTAAGGCCTTTTCATATATTCCACGGCCAAATGTACAAGACCAGCTTGATGATAAATACGTCCTATATTATAGTTAATCTCCTGATATGCTATACAATTTTCAGGCGTCGACGTAGAACTTGTTCTCAGTTCAGCATATTTATGAGCAAAAGCTATGGCCTGTGTGACAGCAGCACATTTGCGTAAAACTTTCTTTTGCAAAGAAACCTGTTGGAATATGCAGGCTATACATAAGGCTATTAAAGCGGTAGGTTGTTCCTTAAACATGGGCACATAAACATTAAGAGCATATTTATATGAACTGCAGTGCAAATGATAGTGTGCCACAAAGATGCGCATTTGTTTAGACAAGGGATTACGTGCTATATGGCGATTATATAACGATGATAACGTAAATCTTGCCCTTTTTGTATCATCAAAGATAAGAGATTCCATAAGGGTATCGAAGCAGTATTTTTGCTGATTAATTCACGTAAATAGGAAAAAGCCAAAGTGCAATCATTGTTAAAATAACAAGCTAGTATAATGATCCGCTCCAAGTCGTTATGATAGCACATAAAACGTTTGGTGGTTACCATGGTAAAGCACATACGCTGCAGAGTACTGTAGTTTTTATGCAAAAATCCTATGCGCATTAATTCCAAAAACAATTGATACTCATCGTGTACCGATAAATTGTCGGAGGCCGATGTATTTGTAGATTTGCTCACCTCCAAGGCTTTGTCGGCGTCTTCTCCTATAATATTACGCATTTGCAAGATATTCTTAAGACCATCAGGATTGTAAAATGAGCCACCATTTGCTGCCGCTAAAATTTCTTCTCTATTACGGAATTTAAGTGATTGTCTGCCCAACAAAACATAACCAATTTCCAAGAATTCCTCAATTTCATTGATCTGCTGCAGCATTATACAACGTTCATACAGCAGGCGAGCATGCAAAGGCTGACCCTCTTGTTCGCCTGATTGCTCCAAAGCCTTAACAGCTTCTATATGGCGTCCCTGCTGTTTCAGCAGAGCGGAGAGTGTAAATTTAGCTTCATAACAAAATGGCGCCAATTCTACGACTTTAAAATAACTGTCTATAGCTTCATTACAGCGATTTAAATGACGCAAACATTCTGCCTGTCTAAGCCAAACAAAAGCTGGACATTCTATGAAATCACCATCGGTAATGGGTCTTAGCAGGGCAATGGTCTCGGCATACTTGTGCTGTTGCATTAACGCTTCTGCTATATCACAATATAAATTTAAACGATCATTTTCGAAAGGCGGTATGTGTTCGTGTATATTTTGTATTAAATAGCCGAGTAAATGATCGGCCTTGAGATTGATTAGGGCCACACATAGCTTTACACGAAAATCTGGCACAAAGTCATCGGGTATAACGCAATAGAATACTAAATCAACTTGATCATCCTTTTCGGTTTCCAATTCTAAGTTGGTGCGCTCTTTAAGGCATTCGAGGACCTGAAGAAATAAAGCGAAATCGGTCAAACTTGATCATACACATTAGTTCAGGCTATATGCTAGTTTTTGATTCAGACTATAGTCCATAGTATAGACTTGACTGTATATCAGATTATGGACTATAGACTATTTTATAGGCTAGACTAGATTATAGACTCTATAGACTAGAGTACAGAATAGACTAGACTATAGTCCAGATTATAGAATAGGTTACAGTTAAGACTATAGATAAGATTATACTCCATACTAAAGTCTAGAAATTGTTATTTCTATCACAAAATATATTCACTTACATTTTTATACTGTTTATTCAAAATACACAGCTCCATGTATAAATTCAAATCCTCCAAAGCGAAAATATGTCCACATAGAAAATACGCAGTCTGCATGGCTTCCAATGCTTGTGTGTACTTATCCAGAGAATGAAAATATTTGGCCACATTTTTCGCCGTTACCAGACACAATTCATGAGCTTCGGGCGGACAGTGGGGTATCATTTTCAAATAGCAAAACATGGCAGCCGATTTTAGACCCATCATTTCCAAGAGACGAGCTTTACGCAAACGTAAATCATAATCAGAATCGTGTATCCTAATAGCTCGAGTATAATAGATGCGAGCTCTTTGTAAGTTACCCTGAGCTATATGCATCTCAGCTATACGTATCCATTGATAGCGATCACTCGAATTTAGATGTACAGCTATGGTAAGGAAATTGAGAAACTTTTCTGTATCACGAGACTCATAGATTTCGGCTAAGGTAACAAAAGGTTCAGCAGCCAAAGGATTTTGTCGTATAATTTCATAACAGATTTTTTCGGCCATTTGTATTTGTCCTCTGGCAAAGCATAAATTAGCCTCACCCATTAAGCCTTGCAAAGCAGCACTAAGTTGAGGTCTTCGTCGGCCGGGACCACTGCCCATTCTAGAAGATTTGCTGGTGCCGGCCGCTTGTTCGCCAGTCGGCATTTTGCGTTTTTTTAAACCTCGTGCTTTAGCATTCTCTCCATATTCTAATTCCAAACAGGTATTAACATTTTTACTAACCACACCACCAGAGTCACCGCCACCACCTTCATCATTTGTGTTTGTCGCTTCTTCTTCAGCATTATCATCATCGCCTTCATCCTCTTCCATTTGCTCGTCTTCATCTTCTTCGTGTGGTTCTAATTTTGTGTAAATATCAGGAAAATCACCTACTCCACCCAAAATTGTTTAATTAATTGTCCTTCTTCCTCTTCTGAAGGTTGACTTAGCATTTCTTGATCCGGCTCTTCCTCATTGTTATGTAGTATGGATACTACTTTTAAAGGATTTGCTTCTTGGAACTCCGATAACTCTGATTCGGATATATCATTGCTATCTATTTCTTCTATAATTATATCACTTGAATTAGAAATATCCATTGTATTTCATAAAAAGGTAGTTGTTTTTTTTTCATAAAAATTGCAAATTTTGTGGGGAAAAATGTAAATAAACAAATGCCGTACTGTGGTGCTGCCAAGTTAGAGGGTTTTTCATATAAACATTCACAATAGTGCCTAAGGCGAATTTAATTAACAGCTGTTTATTGTTTTTTGCTTTTTACGACTATTGAAGTTTGTTTTGTTGGCATTTTACCGTTAGAAAAGGAAAAAGTTTTTACAATCTAACAGTTACCAACGTTCTAACGGCGGAAGTAGACTTTTAAAGATAAATTCCAGGATCTACTTAGAACATCCTGATATTAAACAGTAAATAATACAGCAAATTTTAATTTTATAAATATCTTTTAACCATCATCTCTTTTATTATATAAAATTAATGCGATTTTCCACTATTGTCAATAATTCTATAAATTAAAAAAACACAATATCACAAAATTTAAGTTTTTGTTATCGTACTCGAATTATACATATGAAAATTAATAACATAACGCGATATAAACTTTTGAATACTTATAAAGAACGGTTCATATGGATGGAAAATAAATGTAACTAAATCACGGGGATTAGCAATTAATTCGAAATCAACGGGCCTGGCTTCTGTAGGTTGTTCCAAAAACACACGAAACTTCAAAAGGCCCGTCGTGCGATCCCAAAAACGTATAGGCTCTAAACTATTAAGTCTAGGTCTCTCAAGTGTGGAGATATAACGATCATCATAGTTGAAGAGAGAATAATCCAAATAAGGACTAGTAGAGAAACTTTGTGCGCTAATGGGTAAAGTGGGATTAAAACGAGCTGCCGCTTCAGCAATGCCACCAGAGAAGGAGTTGAGAGCTCTTTAAAACGAAATAATATAAATTAAATATTAAAAAAAACAAAAACTTTAGGGAAAATTTACTTACTGATCAAATGCAGCTCTAAAGAAATCATTATTACTGGGCGAAGATGCATGCCATGGTATTTGCAGCGAATGCACATTACGAAAATCATCGCAATAGTTGCGCAACATTTGCAATAGTTCTACCGAGTCTTTGGAGTAAATTTTTAAAACTTCTTGTTGTGATATATTATAAAAGACATAAATTTTGAAACTTTTATTAATATTACTATCGACATTACTTCCCACAAACATTTCCAGTGGCATTTGAGTTTGTCGCTTCTCATAGCGCAAGAGTAAGTTATCACTGTCGATCAATTGCATTTTTAAAATAATCATACGTTCAACCTGAAAAAAATGAAAAGGAAAAAACTTCTTTATTGTCAAGTTCATTCAATGAACTCCATTAACTATTCTATATTCTAGACTGAAGGCTCAGACTATTTTATAGATAAGACTACTACTCTGTAGAACACACTATAAACCATTTTATAGTGCAGACTAACATAGTTTTTATAGTGCAGACTAACTATAGTTTAGCCGATTTTGAAACATATACATTTTTATTCGTTATATCGCTTACCTGTGCAAATTCTTATAGAATTCCCTTAATTGTAGTTGTCTTTCATGTGGCGACTTTAGCTCCATTATCTCACGATACATAAAGGCTAATATTTTTTGTTTTAAGTGAGAAAATGGTAAATTATGACAGGGATTGAGACTGATATCTGTTGCTTGAATATGAGCAAAAATACGATCACGATCCAAATCACTACCAAAAGGACCCACGGTATACAAACGTTTAAGTTTAGCCCCAACTATATCCACTTCAACTAATTCGATACACTGGCGATAGGTGGATAATATGGCTAGAGTGCGATCATATATCGAAACACTATGATTATGGGATAGTACTATAAAATCATGTTCCAATTTGTAAGTATCACAAATGCGGCCGGTACGTAAATCCACCAAATAAAATGTATAATCATATAGTTCTGTATCGTCAAACAGATCGGGATATTGATGATAGGCTAAATAATTTGGAAATATAGAGCCGCCTGAAAGGGAGGCCAAAAGCACATAGCGGCCATCATCTAGAAATATGCTAAATTCACGATTTAAGTAATGTCGTGCCGCACCCGTTGACCTTATTATTATGGGCAAATTGTACTTTTTTCTTAAATAAACTATTAAACAGTTCTTGTCGTATGTGCAGCGACTGTAGAGAATGGTCTGCGGCCGTTATGCATTCTGCCGGCTGTTGACTTAAAAGTTCCGCCACACTGGCAATACCCTGATAGTGATAAACATCCAATGATTTTTGATCGTTAGTGAAAGCCAACAAATATTGTCCATCGGGACTAAATTTGCGCAAAAAACCATGAGGTTTGTCTACATTCTGTACGGTTAGACGAGGTGTTATGCTTTTGTAGAAATTTCTTTCGTGGAAGAGAAAACGATGCGGTATGGGATGACGACGTCCGGGATTTAGATTTGATTCACGCACCCATAAATGATGTGGTAGATTTTGTGAGGTGGTATGATGCATAGGTGCAAGATTTGTTTATTTTTATATTTTGTAAATAAAATTGATTAAATAAATAATTTGAAAATATATAAACAAATTTTGGCAAGTAAAAGTGCAAAATAAGTAAAACGAAAACAATAAATAAATAAACAGTAATTCACAATAGAGCAAAATAAGGCAAATACAAGCCAGGTGTCATCAGTTTATTGCTGTCAAACTACATATAAAAGAAAGCGCACTTGCTATCTATACTGTCAAATGCTTAACTCACCTTTAATATGAAAACAACAGAAAAACTTGGCAGCACTTTTTGTGGTTAAAATATATTACAACGCCAAAAACTCAATTATTTATCAACGCTGTGTAACGGTAGTTTTTTTTCTATCAAAATGATCATTTTTTCTACAACGAAATTTATTTAACTTTTTATAAAACTTCGTTTAAAGCAAATTCCGTATTTATTTTTGTGTGTTTATGTTAAAGTATTTTGTTAAATATTCTTTTGCGTATGCGTTTCTATTGTGGTTTTTACAATTAATAAACAATATGGATAAACCATCCTGTATGACCAAAGATTTTTTAGAAAAATTGGAAGAATCCTTTAAGAAATTCAAGGATTTATTAAATAAAGAGGTTAGTATTCTAACAAATAGTATGTGAGCTAATAAGTTACATAATAAACTTGAAATTCTAACGCTTACAATCTGATTTAAGCTTGATAATAGTGTAGAGTGCATAGACAATGCCTCCAAGACAAGCAGTGGTTATGATGACGAAGAATTTAATGATGATGAACAGGAGGAGGTGACAGAGACTACACGTCATATATCGCTTAATGAAGATGATGAAGACATTTTAGTAATATCGGACGATGAAGATTATAATGAAATTTGGGAAATAGATTCTGAATCCTCGGACGATGAAGCTTATAGTGATGAAGAGCCTTGCAGTTCTTGCCTGCAAAATAAACAAAAGTTGACGTAAGTACATTCTTTCTTTTCTCTAGTTCACTTCTAATTCAGTTCTATAGTTTTTGTTAAAATGTGATTTTTTAATTTCCTTTAAAATATCAATTTTCTTTTAGATTTTTTAAAATTCTGAAAACTCTACCCTGGTATCCACCCAGTGAAGAAATAAAACTTGCTAAAGATCTTAATTTACGGCAAAATCTTTACAAGAAAATCATCCCGAAGTTATTAAGACATTTATCAAAGACTCCAAATTGCACAAAGACAATATACACTCTGTTTATAAAATGATGCTGGAAATCGAAGATATAACCTCCATGTCAGAATATCCACCATTAGCGCAGAAAGATGTGGTTTTAAACTGCACTGGCATGGCCAGAGAATATTGGATAAGTGTAGGTTTTTGCTTTAGTAAGTTTTTATACAATTTTAAGCAACTTTATGTCATTTTATAGCTAAAAGATTGTCCTAACATAGATGATGTGGTGGCACCCTTTATGGATGAAGTGGTTTTAGTGCCTAAAGCCAGTAGTGCCCTTGCTGAAGTTGTACCTTTAAAACACAAGACTGATCTTTTACTAAAGCATGAACATGAAAGTGATACATATGACGATCTGTATCGTCGTCGTATTGCCACTGTAAGGGACATTACAAAAGAGCGTGCCTCTTTCCGTTTTAGCAGGGAGGAGCATTTGACAGCACGTCAGGTGGCTTCTTTAGTAACCACTAAATACGATATAATATTCCGACCGCGTCGTTATCCTTTACGTTATCAACATCGTGCTTTAGAATTGTTAGAAACAAGTGATGAGATACGTCATTATTTATTTCCCAAAGAGAATCCTTATAAAGATTTACAATTTCAACCTCAATTAAAGTAAGTCCCTTTAGATTTGTTCCCATAATAATGGAAAATATTTCATTTGTTTGTTTTATTTTAGATTTGACTTATTCAATCCCACTATAGCTACAAATCCCGAACAATTAGAGGCCGTACACTATATAACCGAGGGACCTAATTCTCATGCTCCATTTGTGATTTTTGGTCCACCAGGTATTAGCTTCTTAATAGAAACTCCTACCATTTTCTTAATTTTTGTTTGTTTTTCCAACAGGCACCGGTAAAACAACCACTACCGTTGAATCCATATTACAATTGCGACTTCATCATCCCCGAAGTCGCATACTTGTTACGGCCGGTTCAAATTCAGCTTGTGATACAATTGCCTTACGAATATGCAAATATTTTAAGAGCAATCCTCGTCTACAACAGTTGGAAATGAGAGATCCTGAAAATCAAAAATCCCTCATAAGAATTTATTCAAAAAGTATTATTGAAAAAGGCATACAATTACTCGATTCTGAATTGCTGGAAAATTCAAATTGTAAAAATGGCCTTCATCATTATCCCTCGGTTAAGGAAATTCGTCAGTATGGCATTATTGTAGCCACTCTATGTACGGTTGGCAAATTGGTTACAGGTGATGTGGGTGAAATGATTTTTTTCACTCATATCTTTATGGATGAAGCTGGTGCTTCCACAGAACCCGAGGCATTAGTTGGTATAATGGGTATTAAATCTCATTCGAATTGCCGTGTCATTCTATCAGGTGATCACAAACAATTGGGACCGATTTTAAGATCAGAACGTGCTGCCCAGCTGGGTCTGGAGCGTTCTTTAATGGAACGTTTGTTGTCTAGAGATTGTTATGGTCTGGATGATAACTGTAATTATGATCGTTCATTGCAGGCTCGTTTGAAGCGTAATTATCGTTCTCATCCTGAAATCGTAAGACTTTATAATCATTTGTATTATAACGATGAGTTAATTGCTGAAGCTAAACTCGGTAAGTTAAAGACTACTTGTAAGAATCTTAGTTCTAGTTTAGTTCTAGTTCAGTTCTAATTTGGTTCTAGTTTAGTTCTAGATTAGTTCTAATTAAGTTCTAGTTCCGTTCTAGTACAGTTCTAGTTCCTTTCTAGTTCAAACTAACAGAATTTCCTTATGGTCAGAATCTTTCTCAATTTTCAGATTAATTCAATATCGCCCACTTTGTTTCAATTCTAATTGAACTCCTGGATTTTCTTTTCTTTTGTAGAGGATGTCAATCATGCCGCCAAATGGTGTAAGTTACCAAATCCCAATTTTCCCATTATATTCCAAGCGGTACATGGTGTCACAGAAAAAGATACTCTAACACCCAGTTCATGTAATAATTTAGAAATACAGTGTTAATGTGGTTCCTACAACGTCTCCTTGTCGATGGCATAAATGGTCAAAAAGTCCAACAATCCGATATTGGCATTATAACACCCTATCGATTACAAAATAAACGTATACAAAATCGTCTAAGTGAACGTGGTTGGTGTGGTGTAGAAAGTGGTTCCGTGGAAACATTTCAAGGTAGAGAAAAACAAATTATAATTGTATCTCTGGTGAGATCATTTGCAGGTCTGGGATTTGTGCGTAACCCCAAGGTATTTATATTCAAATTTTTTTTTATTTAGTTTAAGTCTACAACATAGTGCTTTTATTTCCCTTCCCCCATTAAGCGTTTAAATGTTATATTATCCCGTCCCAAATCCTTACTTATTTTAATGGGAAATCCTTTGACCTTAAGACGTCATGCTGATTTTGCTTTTATCATGGATGAATGTAAAAAACATGGCACATTTTTGCGTAAAAAGAAAACTCGTAACCTAAAACTAATTTACCACGAAAATCTGTCTCTTTGTTAAATCTTTCATCTTTAACTTTAACTAAAACAACAAACGCTGCCACCACAAATAAAAATTTGTTGGCTTTATAATCATTTTACTATTCGTACTTTATATATTTTTTTGTTTCAGCTAAGCATATTTCACCTACAGGATATATATATATTTAATACATTTATTTTTTACTTTATGTTCAATTTTCATCCATATATTTGTCCTATTTAAGTCTTTAGGTTATTAATTTATTTCGTATTTAACTGTATTAACTATGTATTCCCATATACCTTATTTATATTTAGTGTATTAATTTATGTATTTTTGCTTACGTTTCTTTTATGCATTTGTGTTACCAAAGTATGACTTTATATATTTTTCTGTAGATTTATGTTTGAAATAAAAAAAAAATTCCTAGAATGAATAATAATGTAGTGAATACTTCTGAGAGTAATTACGAATTGGCCAGGATTTATTGTCATGCTCAAAGACTGCTATTATTTTCTACATAATTGCTCTGAAGTCGTTACTACCAAGTTTTTTAGCTTTTTGTTTTTGTTAAGTACTTTATCTGAAACAAAATTGTTTAGTTCTAGTTCGATTCTAGACCGATTCTGTTTCAATTCAGTTCTAGTTCGATTTTAGTTCGATTCTGGTTCAGTTATTTTTCAGTTCTAGTTCACTTTTAGTTCAGTTCTAGTTACTTTTAGTTCAGTTCTGAATTAGTTTTAGTTCAGTTCTATTTTAGTATTAGTTTAGTTCTAGTTCTAGTTCAGTTTTGGTTCACATTTAGTTAGTTCTAGTTTAGTTCAGTTTAAGTTCAGTTCTAGTTCAGTTCTAGTTCAGTTCTAACTCAGTTCTAGTTCAGTTCTAGTTCAGTTCTAGTTCTAGTTTAAGTTCAGTTCTAGTTCAGTTCTAGTTCTAGTTCAGTTCTAGTTCTAGTTCGTCTAGTTCAGTTCTAGTTCAGTTCTACGTTCAGTTTCTAGTTCAGTTCTAGTTTCAGTTCTAGTTCAGTTCTAGTTCAGTTCTAGTTCAGTTCTAGTTCAGTTCTAGTTCAGTTCTAGTTCAGTTCTAGTTCAGTTCTAGTTCAGTTCTAGTTCAGTTCTAGTTCAGTTCTAGTTCAGTTCTAGTTCAGTTCTAGTTCAGTTCTAGTTCAGTTCTAGTTCAGTTCTAGTTCAGTTCTAGTTCAGTTCTAGTTCAGTTCTAGTTCAGTTCTAGTTCAGTTCTAGTTCAGTTCTAGTTCAGTTCTAGTTCAGTTCTAGTTCAGTTCTAGTTCAGTTCTAGTTCAGTTCTAGTTCAGTTCTAGTTCAGTTCTAGTTCAGTTCTAGTCAGTTCTAGTTCAGTTCTAGTTCAGTTCTAGTTCAGTTCTAGTTCAGTTCTAGTTCAGTTCTAGTTCAGTTCTAGTTCAGTTCTAGTTCAGTTCTAGTTCAGTTCTAGTTCAGTTCTAGTTCAGTTCTAGTTCAGTTCTAGTTCAGTTCTAGTTCAGTTCTAGTTCAGTTCTAGTTCAGTTCTAGTTCAGTTCTAGTTCAGTTCTAGTTCAGTTCTAGTTCAGTTCTAGTTCAGTTCTAGTTCAGTTCTAGTTCAGTTCTAGTTCAGTTCTAGTTCAGTTCTAGTTCTAGTTCAGTTCTAGTTCTAGTTTAAGTTCAGTTCTAGTTCAGTTCTAGTTCTAGTTCAGTTCTAGTTCTAGTTCTAGTTCAGTTCTAGTTCAGTTCTAGTTCAGTTCTAGTTCAGTTCTACTTCAGTTCTAGTTCAGTTCTAGTTCAGTTCTAGTTCAGTTCTAGTTCAGTTCTAGTTCAGTTCTAGTTCAGTTCTAGTTCAGTTCTAGTTCAGTTCTAGTTCAGTTCTAGTTCAGTTCTAGTTCAGTTCTAGTTCAGTTCTAGTTCAGTTCTAGTTCAGTTCTAGTTCAGTTCTAGTTCAGTTCTAGTTCAGTTCTAGTTCAGTTCTAGTTCAGTTCTAGTTCAGTTCTAGTTCAGTTCTAGTTCAGTTCTAGTTCAGTTCTAGTTCAGTTCTAGTTCAGTTCTAGTTCAGTTCTAGTTCAGTTCTAGTTCAGTTCTAGTTCAGTTCTAGTTCAGTTCTAGTTCAGTTTCTAGTTCAGTTCTAGTTCAGTTCTAGTTCAGTTCTAGTTCAGTTCAGTTCTAGTTCTAGTTCAGTTCTAGTTCAGTTCTAGTTCAGTTCTAGTTCAGTTCTAGTTCAGTTCTAGTTCAGTTCTAGTTCAGTTCTAGTTCAGTTCTAGTTCAGTTCTAGTTCTAGTTCAGTTCTAGTTCAGTTCTAGTTCAGTTCTAGTTCAGTTCTAGTTCAGTTCTAGTTCAATTCTAGTTCGGTTCTAGTTCGGTTCTAGTCCAGTTCTAGTTCAGTTCTAGTTCAGTTCTAGTTCCGTTCTAGTTCAGTTCTAGTTCAGTTCTAGTTCAGTTCTAGTTCAGTTCTAGTTCAGTTCTAGTTCAGTTCTAGTTCAGTTCTAGTTCAGTTCTAGTTCAGTTCTAGTTCAGTTCTAGTTCAGTTCTAGTTCAGTTCTAGTTCAGTTCTAGTTCAGTTCTAGTTCAGTTCTAGTTCAGTTCTAGTTCGTTCTAGTTCAGTTCTAGTCAGTTCTAGTTCAGTTCTAGTTCAGTTCTAGTTCAGTTCTAGTTCAGTTCTAGTTCAGTTCTAGTTCAGTTCTAGTTCAGTTCTAGTTAGTTCTTAGTTCGAGTTCAGTTCAGTTCGAGTTCAGTTCAGTTCGAGTTCAGTTCAGTTCGAGTTCAGTTCTAGTTCAGTTCTAGTTCATTTCTAGTTCAGTTCTAGTTCAGTTCTAGTTCAGTTTCTAGTTCAGTTCTGTTCGTTCTAGTTCAGTTCTAGTTCAGTTCTAGTTCTAGTTCAGTTCTAGTTCAGTTCTAGTTCAGTTCTAGTCAGTCTAGTTCAGTTCTAGTTCAGTTCTAGTTCAGTTCTAGTTCAGTTCTAGTCAGTTCTAGTTCAGTTCTAGTTCAGTTCTAGTTCAGTTCTAGTTCAGTTATATTCAGTTCTAGTTCAGTTCTAGTTCAGTTCTAGTTCAGTTCTAGTTCAGTTCTAGTTCAGTTCTAGTTCAGTTCTAGTTCAGTTCTAGTTCAGTTCTAGTTCAGTTCTAGTTCAGTTCTAGTTCAGTTCTAGTTCAGTTCTAGTTCAGTTCTAGTTCAGTTCTAGTTCAGTTCTAGTTCAGTTCTAGTTCAGTTCTAGTTCAGTTCTAGTTCAGTTCTAGTTCAGTTCTAGTTCAGTTCTAGTTCAGTTCTAGTTCAGTTCTAGTTCAGTTCTAGTTCAGTTCTAGTTCAGTTCTAGTTCAGTTCTAGTTCAGTTCTAGTTCAGTTCTAGTTCTGTTCTAGTTCAGTTCTAGTTCAGTTCTAGTTCAGTTCTAGTTCAGTTCTAGTTCAGTTCTAGTTCAGTTCTAGTTCAGTTCTAGTTCAGTTCTAGTTCAGTTCTAGTTCATTTCTAGTTCAGTTCTAGTTCAGTTCTAGTTCAGTTCTAGTTCAGTTCTAGTTCAGTTCTAGTTCAGTTCTAGTTCAGTTCTAGTTCAGTTCTAGTTCAGTTCTAGTTCAGTTCTAGTTCAGTTCTAGTTCAGTTCTAGTTCAGTTCTAGTTCAGTTCGTTTAGTTCTAGTTCAGTTCTAGTTCAGTTCTAGTTCAGTTCTAGTTCAGTTCTATTTCAGTTCTAGTTCAGTTCTAGTTCAGTTCTAGTTCAGTTCTATTTCAGTTCTAGTTCAGTTCTAGTTCAGTTCTAGTTCAGTTCTAGTTCAGTTCTAGTTCAGTTCTAGTTCAGTTCTAGTTCAGTTCTAGTTCAGTTCTAGTTCAGTTCTAGTTCAGTTCTAGTTCAGTTCTAGTTCAGTTCTAGTTCAGTTTTAGTTCAGTTCTAGTTCAGTTCTAGTTCAGTTCTAGTTCAGTTCTAGTTCAGTTCTAGTTCAGTTCTAGTTCAGTTCTAAGAAAACTCAATTTTAAAATCTTTTCGATAAATGTCTTACCTTGTTCAATGCCAAATGACCATCGTTATCTTTAACGGTTTGTTCCAATTTCTCCAAATAGAATGGAATGACTTCATTGTTCAATGTGACCAATTTCTTTTCCTTGATTTCATCCTCTGGTTCGTAGGAGACGACTGCAATTTCTATATATTAAAATGCAAAGATTAATCAAACAACATAAAACATGCAACTTCACACATTGTTCGCTACTTAGACGAAAATCGTTGATGGTATCAACAACAATATCAATTTGTAGATCTTCCCAGGGTGTGGCACCGCACAAACCAACAGTTTTAGCTAGAAAACGTGCCATTGATATGCTCTGATGAACACGTTTGCCATCGACTTCCAAAACAGGCATTTGACCCATAGGCATAGCTATTAATTTGTATTAAATGGAATTAAGATAAAACTATAAATGGGACTTGATTTGTATTCAGTTAAACTTACTCGGCTTCAATGCTGGCCATTCATCACGGGTTACGCGCACATCCTCATACTCAATGCCGCCATATGCGAAAAGATAACGTAACGGCTCAGCCAATGCCTTAACATTGAAATAGAATAGGGTATAGGTGTGCTTAATGGGCTCAGTGGGTTCAGCTGGTGGTGCATCACCTGCGGCAGCTGCCTCACCCTCAGCTGGTGCTGGTGCAGCTTCGGCGGGTGGTGCTTGTGCTTCGTCGGCCATTATTTAAAGCTAAAATAGATATTAGATTTGTATTGAAATATTAGAAAAGCTATCACTGTTTTAAAATTTTTAATTTTAAAATTAACATTTTTTTCAAAACAAATTCAATCGAAATTGAGGAAATGCTGCGTATTGAAATATGTAGTTTTTAAAAATCTGCTTTGACGTTTGTTGTCGTTATTGTGTTTTTGTAACTGCAGCTCTTTTAATTTGTTGTGTTAAATATTTTTTTATAATTTTATTTATTTTGTTCTTATCAGATTAGTGTCTAGCACGCATCTGAACATATTTTTTATACAATTTTTAAAGCGATAAGATAAAGAATACTTGTTGTCCAAATACCCCCAATAATTGTGTTAAAATGACTAAGCATTTTTGATATTTTTATGTGGTGGCTTTATAATTATAGTCGAAAAATTGTATGCAGTAAATTTGACTACAGAAAAACTTTCCTTAAAATTCAAGTCTATAGTCTAGTTCAGTTAGTCCAGTTCTAGTTCATATCAGTTCTAGTTCTAGTTCAGTTCTAGATCAGTTCTAGTTCAGTTCTAGTTCAGTTCTAGTTCAGTTCTAGTTCAGTTCTAGTTGAGTTCTAGTTGAGTTCTAGTTCAGTTCTAGTTCAGTTCTAGTTCAGTTCTAGTTCGGTTGTAGTTCGTTCTAGTTCAGTTCTAGTTCAGTTCTAGTTCAGTTCTAGTTCAGTTCTAGTTCAGTTCTAGTTCAGTTCTAGTTCAGTTCTAGTTCAGTTCTAGTTCAGTTCTAGTTCAGTTCTAGTTCAGTTCTAGTTCAGTTCTAGTTCAGTTCTAGTTCAGTTCTAGTTCAGTTTAGTCAGTTCTAGTTCAGTTCTAGTTCAGTTCTAGTTCAGTCTAGTTCAGTTCTAGTTCAGTTCTAGTTCAGTTCTAGTTCAGTTCTAGTTCAGTTCTAGTCAGTCTAGTCAGTTCTAGTTCAGTTCTAGTTCAGTTCTAGTTCAGTTCTAGTTCAGTTCTAGTTCAGTTCTAGTTCAGTTCTAGTTCAGTTCTAGTTCAGTTCTAGTTCAGTTCTAGTTCAGTTCTAGTTCAGTTCTAGTTCAGTTCTAGTTCAGTTCTAGTTCAGTTCTAGTTCAGTCTAGTTCAGTTCTAGTTCAGTTCTAGTTCAGTTCTAGTTCAGTTCTAGTTCAGTTCTAGTTCAGTTCTAGTTCAGTTCTAGTTCAGTTCTAGTTCAGTTCTAGTTCAGTTCTAGTTCAGTTCTAGTTCAGTTCTAGTTCAGTTCTAGTTCAGTTCTAGTTCAGTTCTAGTTCAGTTCTAGTTCGTTCTAGTTCAGTTCTAGTTCAGTTCTAGTTCAGTTCTAGTTCAGTGTCTAGTTCAGTTCTAGTTCAGTTCTAGTTCAGTTCTAGTTCAGTTCTAGTCAGTTCTAGTTCAGTTCTAGTTCAGTTCTAGTCTATAGTCTAGTCTATAGTCTAGTCTATAGTCTAGTCTATAGTCTAGTCTATAGTCTAGTCTATAGTCTAGTATATAGTCTAGTCTATAGTCTAGTCTATAGTCTAGTCTATAGTCTAGTCTATAGTCTAGTCTATAGTCTAGTCTATAGTCTGGTCAATAGTCTAGTCTATAGTCTAGTCTAGTCTATAGTAAAGTCTATAGTCTAGTCTAGAGTCTAGTCTAGAGTCTAGTCTATAGTCTAGTCTATAGTCTAGTCTATAGTCTAGTCTATAGTCTAGTCTATAGTCTAGTCTATAGTCTAGTCTATAGTCTAGTCTATAGTCTCGTCTATAGTCTAGTCTATAGTCTAGTTTATAGTCTAGTCTATAGTCTAGTCTATAGTCTAGTCTATAGTCTAGTCTATAGTCTAGTCTATAGTCTAGTCTATAGTCCAGTCTATAGTCTAGTCTATAGTCTAGTCTATAGTCCAGTCTATAGTCTAATCTGTAGTCTAGTCTATAGTCTGGTCTTAATCTATTTTAATTTCTATAGAATACTTTGTTGGAGTTTCTGGCAAATGTTGTATATGGAATGTATATCAGGCAAAATTCAAACCCCTTATTCTAATTTAATAAAATTCAGACAAAGACAACTGCTCTTAAATTTTTTTGTATTTTTATTTTGATGAATTTTCCTCGTTTACTTAAGGTTAATTACAAATTTCTTTTATATAAAAATACAATATTCAAATTACAAATTTCATTATTTAACGTTTTTACATTATTAACGAAATAATTTGTAATTTTGCGATAAAACCTTTCGGTTTTAAAGTGTGATGTTGTTGGTGTTGTTATTGCTGTGGTGTTAAGGCATTTGGCAAAAAATGGGCCGAATTTTAAGCGAATTATAATGTTTTAACGATTTTTTGTAAATTTAAAAAGATTTAATGAAACGATTTAAATTTTTTTGTTTTTAAATAAATTCTCCAAAGTAGTTTTTTGAGTCTTTTTTATACTCAATACTCTTCGGATGTTTAATAACAGTAGTTGATGTTGCTGCTGTTGTACGTTTGTTGTTCGAATTGTAATTATTTATTTAGTTTTTTGTTGTTGTTGTTATCTTGTTGCAATTTATGAAGTTTAATGAAAAAGATCATGAAGTTGTTATTAAGATGCAATGATGTGATCAACGATTACAAATGAGAGCATTAAGAGTGAAAATTGTATAAAACGCTTTTTTATAAACGTTTTTTTTTTTTTTAAATGTAATATAACTTTTTTTTATAGTGTTCTCTTTTCATATTTTTGTTGTGTTTAAGAAAGAGTATTTATTAGAACAATTTAAAACTAAGTAAGTGATTTAATAGTAAATAAGTTTTTAAGTGCTTAAATAGTAAAACTTATGTTAAATATGTATTTTGTATTATGATCTGGAAACTCATTGTATTATAGATTAAATATTAAACAAAAATTATTTGCTTCAACTATTCTACAAAACTAAACTAATTATTAACAAGTTATTTTTTAAATAAGTTTGATTAGAGAAACGTCATTTATCATGCCTGGTTAAGTCCATATATTAGTAGAGATTCATTAGCTTTAAAATTCAAAAGAAAACTTTATACTCTCTTTTCAAAATAAAACAAAGAGTCAAGTCTAGTACCGAAGGACCAGTTATCGGTTTGGTGTAAGTGTGTGCATGTGTGTATGTAATATATTTTATGCCACATAAAACATGTAAGTAAAACATAAAGAAAACAAAAACATAAAATTTAAAATGATTTGTTAATTGTTTTTATTAATTATTATTATTATTATTTTAAAAGTAGTATGCATATTATTTATTATTAATACATAAACAATTAAAAAAAGGAACAAAATGTGATGTTTTAATCAATATATAGTATATTTTTAGTTGTTATTATAATATTGTTGTTGTTGTTGTTTTTGTGTTTTTATGTATAATAAATGAAAAAATTGTTAATTGCTTTTTTTCTTCTTTTTCATCATTTAGGAGTTTTCATTTCTTCAAATGGTTATGCTTGTTTTAGTAATTAAAAAAACTTAAACTTCAGTTTGTGGTCTCTTCTCGATCCATGCCTTAATGGGTTCCATGGCGTTAACAGTATCGACAACACCGCGCAAAGCTGGATATTGTTCCAAAATGTCGCGTTTAACCATGTAATTCATGTAATCCAAAATACCAGCGAAGTAAATGTCAGCCCAGGTAAGCTAAAGTAATTGTAAGATATAAAAAAACAAAATGATTTATTATTTGGAGGCATTTTCTAGAGAAAAGCTATAGCAAATGTTCAAAATTAAAACTGGCTCAGAATCTGTCAAAAACTTCAGTTTAGTTCAAGTTCTGTTCTAGTTCAGTTCTAGTTCAGTTCTAGTTCAGTTCTAGTTCAGTTCTAGTTCAGTTCTAGTTCAGTTCGAGTTCAGTTCTAGTTCAGTTCTAGTTCAGTTCTAGTTCAGTTCTAGTTCAGTTCTAGTTCAGTTCTAGTTCAGTTCTAGTTCAGTTCTAGTTCAGTTCTAGTTCAGTTCTAGTTCAGTTCTAGTTCAGTTCTAGTTCAGTTCTAGTTCAGTTCTAGTTCAGTTCTAGTTCAGTTCTAGTTCAGTTCTAGTTCAGTTCTAGTTCAGTTCTAGTTCAGTTCTAGTTCAGTTCTAGTTCAGTTCTAGTTCAGTTCTAGTTCAGTTCTAGTTCAGTTCTAGTTCAGTTCTAGTTCAGTTCTAGTTCAGTTCTAGTTCAGTTCGTTCAGTTCTAGTTCAGTTCTAGTTCAGTTCTAGTTCAGTTCTAGTTCATTCTAGTTCAGTTCTAGTTCAGTTCTAGTCAGTTCTAGTTCAGTTTTAGTTCAGTTCTAGTTCAGTTCTAGTTCAGTTCTAGTTCAGTTCTAGTTCAGTTCTAGTCAGTTCTAGTTCAGTTCTAGTTCAGTTCTAGTTCAGTTCTAGTTCAGTTCTAGTTCAGTTCTAGTTCAGTTCTAGTCAGTTCTAGTTCGTTTAGTTCAGTTCTAGTTCAGTTCTAGTTCAGTTCTAGTTCAGTTCTAGTTCAGTTCTAGTTCAGTTCTAGTTCAGTTTTCGTTCAGTTCAGTTCTAGTTCAGTTCTAGTTCAGTTCTAGTTCAGTTCTAGTTCAGTTCTAGTTCAGTTCTAGTTCAGTTCTAGTTCGTTCTAGTTCAGTTCTAGTTCTGTTCTAGTTCAGTTCTAGTTCAGTTCTAGTTCAGTCTAGTTCAGTTTAGTTCAGTTCTAGTTTTTTGTTCAGTTCTAGTTCAGTTCTAGTTCATTTCTAGTCAGTTCTAGTTCAGTTCTAGTTCAGTTCTAGTCAGTTCTAGTTCAGTTCTAGTTCAGTTCTAGTTCAGTTCTAGTTCAGTTTAGTTCGTTCTAGTTCAGTTCTAGTTCAGTTCTAGTTCAGTTCTAGTTCAGTTTCTAGTTCAGTTCTAGTTCAGTTCTAGTTCAGTTCTAGTTCAGTTCTAGTTCAGTTCTAGTTCAGTTCTAGTTCAGTTCTAGTTCAGTTCTAGTTCAGTTCTAGTTTAGTTCTAGTTCAGTTCTAGTTCAGTTCTAGTTCAGTTTTTTTCTAGTTCAGTTCTAGTTCAGTTCTATTTCAGTTCTAGTTCAGTTCTAGTTCAGTTCTAGTTCAGTTCTATTTCAGTTCTAGTTCAGTTCTAGTTCAGTTCTAGTTCAGTTCTAGTTCAGTTCTAGTTCAGTTCTAGTTCAGTTCTAGTTCAGTTCTAGTTCAGTTTAGTTCAGTTCTAGTTCAGTTCTAGTTCAGTTCTAGTTCAGTTCTAGTTCAGTTCTAGTTCAGTTCTAGTTCAGTTTAGTTCAGTTCTAGTTCAGTTCTAGTTCAGTTCTAGTTCAGTTCTAAGAAAACTCAATTTTAAAATCTTTTCGATAAATGTCTTACCTTGTTCAATGCCAATGACCATCGTTATCTTTAACGGTTTGTTCCAATTTCTCCAAATAGAATGGAATGACTTCATTGTTCAATGTGACCAATTTCTTTTCCTTGATTTCATCCTCTGGTTCGTAGGAGACGACTGCAATTTCTATATATTAAAATGCAAAGATTAATCAAACAACATAAAACATGCAACTTCACACATTGTTCGCTACTTAGACGAAAATCGTTGATGGTATCAACAACAATATCAATTTGTAGATCTTCCCAGGGTGTGGCACCGCACAAACCAACAGTTTTAGCTAGAAAACGTGCCATTGATATGCTCTGATGAACACGTTTGCCATCGACTTCCAAAACAGGCATTTGACCCATAGGCATAGCTATTAATTTGTATTAAATGGAATTAAGATAAAACTATAAATGGGACTTGATTTGTATTCAGTTAAACTTACTCGGCTTCAATGCTGGCCATTCATCACGGGTTACGCGCACATCCTCATACTCAATGCCGCCATATGCGAAAAGATAACGTAACGGCTCAGCCAATGCCTTAACATTGAAATAGAATAGGGTATAGGTGTGCTTAATGGGCTCAGTGGGTTCAGCTGGTGGTGCATCACCTGCGGCAGCTGCCTCACCCTCAGCTGGTGCTGGTGCAGCTTCGGCGGGTGGTGCTTGTGCTTCGTCGGCCATTATTTAAAGCTAAAATAGATATTAGATTTGTATTGAAATATTAGAAAAGCTATCACTGTTTTAAAATTTTTAATTTTAAAATTAAAAATTCTTTCAAAACAAATTCAATCGAAATTGAGGAAATGCTGCGTATTGAAATATGTAGTTTTTTAAAAACTGTTTTGACGTTTGTTGTCGTTATTGTGTTTTTGTAACTGCAGCTCTTTTAATTTGTTGTGTTAAATAATTTTATTTATTTGTTCTTATTTATTTTGTTCTTATCAGATTAGTGTCTAGTACGCATCTGAACATATTTTTTATACAATTTTTAAAGCGATAAGATAAAGAATACTTGTTGTCCAAATACCCCCAATAATTGTGTTAAAATGACTAAGCATTTTTGATATTTTTATGTGGTGGCTTTATAATTATAGTCGAAAAATTGTATGCAGTTAAATTTGACTACAGAAAAACTTTCCTTAAAATTGAAGTCTATAGTCTAGTTTAGTTAGTCCAGTTCTAGTTCAGTTCTAGTTCAGTTCTAGTTCAGTTCTAGTTCAGTTCTAGTTCAGTTCTAGTTCAGTTCTAGTTCAGTTCTAGTTCAGTTCTAGTTCAGTTCAGTTCTAGTTCAGTTCTAGTTCAGTTCTAGTTCAGTTCTAGTTCAGTTCTAGTTCAGTTCTAGTTCAGTTCTAGTTCAGTTCTAGTTCAGTTCTAGTTCAGTTCTAGTTCAGTTCTAGTTCAGTTCTAGTTCAGTTCTAGTTCAGTTCTAGTTCAGTTCTAGTTCAGTTCTAGTTCAGTTCTAGTTCAGTTCTAGTTCAGTTCTAGTTCAGTTCTAGTTCAGTTCTAGTTCAGTTCTAGTTCAGTTCTAGTTCAGTTCTAGTTCAGTTCTAGTTCAGTTCTAGTTCAGTTCTAGTTCAGTTCTAGTTCAGTTCTAGTTCAGTTCTAGTTCAGTTCTAGTTCTAGTTCAGTTCTAGTTCAGTTCTAGTTCAGTTCTAGTTCAGTTCTAGTTCGTTCTAGTTCAGTTCTAGTTCAGTTCTAGTTCAGTTCTAGTTCAGATCTAGTTTCAGTTCTAGTTCAGTTCTAGTTCAGTTCTAGTTCAGTTCTAGTTCAGTTCTAGTTCAGTTCTAGTTCAGTTCTAGTTCAGTTCTAGTTCAGATCTAGTCAGTTCTAGTTCAGTTCTAGTTCAGTTCTAGTTCAGTTCTAGTTCAGTTCTAGTTCAGTTCTAGTTCAGTTCTAGTTCAGTTCTAGTTCAGTTCCAGTTTAGTTCTAGTTCAGTTCTAGTTCAGTTCTAGTTCAGTTCTTGTTCAGTTCTAGTTCAGTTCTAGTTCAGTTCTAGTTCAGTTCTAGTTCAGTTCTAGTTCAGTTCTAGTTCAGTTCTAGTTCAGTTCTAGTTCAGTTCTAGTTCAGTTCTAGTTCAGTTCTAGTTTAGTTCTATTTTTTTAAATACTGTTTAGATTTCCCGTTTAGATTAAAATTCCACTGAATAATTATTATTCATTAACCAATATAGAAAAGAAACCAAAAAAAAGAATACGAATCATAAAATAAAAACGGAAATAGTAAATTCATTATAAGAAATCAACTCCTACTTTCATTACAATAATTGTTTTCTATTCTTTGGCTATTGTCTTAAACTGCACCCACGTCGATTTTCCGCAGAAGTAAAAAGAATTTATTTATATGCCAGGCATGTAATCTAAACCAAGACAAGCTATTGTCGTGTCAATAACAATATCCAATGGCATGGAAGAGTAGAAAAGAAGTCAAACCATATAAAGAAGAATTTATAGGGCGTTGGCATTAAACTGTACCCCGTTCGTTTGAAGACAGTTACTCAGATTTGAATGCAAGCAACAGTTTCTCCAGTTGCTGTTTGTGCATCATGCCACAACCAGCAACATCCAATGACAGCCAGCTAGTGAGTCAGTTAGTTGCTACCGCCAGCTAGTCAGCCAACATGAAGCCAATTAATGTTTGCAAATTTAAAGATAATAATCATTAAGAGGAAGAAGGCAGAAAAAAAAAAAAACACGAAAAGATGAAATTCGTACCAGAGAAAAATATAAGTAAAGAATGTGGAATTTGTGGGCTGATAACCGGTTGAATGGTAAGCCGGCCGGCCGGCAACAAGTTTTAAATATAGATACAATGCAAAATAACAACAGAAAATCAATTTAAAAGCCAGTTATAAGACATGCATGCATGTACTTTTTTTTTTGAAATACAATTCAAAAAATACACTGAGAAAAAATATGTGTGGGATTGTATTCAGTTTCATTTCCATATGTAGGTACAGTTGGAAACTGTTTAATGTGACTGTTGGAGTATGAAGAACTTTTAATCGTTTATTTGAATTTCTTTTTTAAATTACAAAATTCGATTTATAATGAAAGTTTTAGCCAATAGTCTAGTCTATAGCCTAGTCTATAGTAGTCTAGTAGTCTATAGTCTAGTCTATAGTCTAGTCTATAGTCTAGTCTAGTCTAGTCTATAGTCTAGTCTATAGTCTAGTCTATAGTCTAGTCTATAGTCTAGTCTATAGTCTAGTCTATAGTCTAGTATATAGTCTAGTCTATAGTCTAGTCTATAGTATAGCCTATAGTCTAGTCTATAGTCTAGTCTATAGTCTAGTATATAATCTAGTCTATAGTCTAGTCTATAGTCTAGTCTATAGTCTAGTCTATAGTCTAGTCTATAGTCTAGTCTATAGTCTAGTCTATAGTCTAGTCTATAGTCTAGTCTATAGTCTAGTCTATAGTCTAGTCTATAGTCTAGTGTATAGTCTAGTCTATAGTCTAGTCTATAGTCTAGTCTATAGTCTAGTCTATAGTCTAGTCTATAGTCTAGTGTATAGTCTAGTCTATAGTCTAGTCTATAGTCTAGTGTATAGTCTAGTCTATAGTCTAGTCTATAGTCTAGTCTATAGTCTAGTATATAGTCTAGTCTATAGTCTAGTCCTCTAGTCTAGTCTATAGTCTAGTCTATAGGTCTAGTCTTAGTCTAGTCTATAGTCTAGTCTATAGTCTAGTCTATAGTCTAGTCTATAGTCTAGTCTATAGTCTAGTCTATAGTCTAGTCTATAGTCTAGTCTATAGTCTAGTCTATAGTATAGTATATAGTCTAGTATATAGTCTAGTCTATAGTATAGCCTATAGTCTAGTCTATAGTCTAGTCTATAGTCTAGTCGATAGTCTTAGTCGATAGTCTAGTCTATAGTCTAGTCTATAGTCTAGTCTATAGTCTAGTCTATAGTCTAGTCTATAGTCTAGTCTATAGTCTAGTCTCTAGTCTAGTCTATAGTCTAGTCTATAGTCTAGTCTATAGTCTAGTCTATAGTTCTAGTCTATAGTCTAGTCTATAGTCTAGTCTATAGTATAGTCTATAGTCTAGTCTATAGTCTAGTCTATAGTCTCAGTCTATAGTCTAGTCTATAGTCTAGTCTATAGTCTAGTCTAAGTCTAGTCTATAGTCTAGTCTATAGTCTAGTCTATAGTCTAGTCTATAGTCTAGTCTATAGTCTAGTCTATAGTCTAGTCTATAGTCTAGTCTATAGTCTAGTCTATAGTCTAGTCTATAGTCTAGTCTATAGTCTAGTCTATAGTCTAGTCTATAGTCTAGTCTATAGTCTAGTCTATAGTCTAGTCTATAGTCTAGTCTATAGTCTAGTCTATAGTCTAGTCTATAGTCTAGTCTATAGTCTAGTCTATAGTCTAGTCTATAGTCTAGTCTATAGTCTAGTCTATAGTCTAGTCTATAGTCTAGTCTATAGTCTAGTCTATAGTCTAGTCTATAGTCTAGTCTATAGTCTAGTCTATAGTCTAGTCTATAGTCTAGTCTATAGTCTAGTCTATAGTCTAGTCTATATTCTAGTCTATAGTCTAGTCTATAGTCCAGTCTATAGTCTAGTCTATAGTCTAGTCTATAGTCTAGTCTATAGTCTAGTCTATAGTCTAGTCTATAGTCTAGTCTATAGTCTAGTCTAGTCTATAGTCTAGTCTATAGTCTAGTCTATAGTCTAGTCTATAGTCTATATAGTCTATAGTCTAGTCTATAGTCTAGTCTATAGTCTAGTCTATAGTCTAGTCTATAGTCTAGTCTATAGTCTAGTCTATAGTCTAGTCTATAGTCTAGTCTATAGTCTAGTCTATAGTCTAGTCTATAGTCTAGTCTATAGTCTAGTCTATAGTCTAGTCTATAGTCTAGTCTATAGTCTAGTCTATAGTCTAGTCTATAGTCTAGTCTATAGTCTAGTCTATAGTCTAGTCTATAGTCTAGTCTATAGTCTAGTCTATAGTCTAGTCTATAGTCTAGTCTATAGTCTAGTCTATAGTCTAGTCTATAGTCTAGTCTATAGTCTAGTCTATAGTCTAGTCCTTAGTCTAGTCTATAGTCTAGTCTATAGTCTAGTCTATAGTCTAGTTTATAGTCTAGCTTATAGTCTAGTCTATAATCTATAATCTAGTCTATAGTCTAGCTTATAGTCTAGTATGTTGGCTAGTCTATATATTCTAGCATATAGTCTAGTATATTGTCTTGTCTATAGTGTAGTCTATATTTAAATTTTATTTTCTTCTATTCTCCCCCCCCCCTGGAACTTTTGTTATCCAATTAAAATGGGGCCATTGTTTCTAATCTATTAGTGTTCCTGTTGTGTCTAAGTGTTAAACGTCTAAACTAAATTAGATTTATTAGACCAGCAACAAGTATTTGGCTCTTTGCCCACTCAGTCAAATCTAATTGTTCCGATAATTTATTTATTTATTGTCAAATACAATTGTTTATTTTCCTTTAATACTTGCTGATCAATTTACTTTTGACGAAATCTGAGAAATCTTTTTTTCTGTTGGTTCTAACAAAAATAAATTTCTATAAACATTATTTGCACTAACAAAATGCAGGTAATTGTTGTTGCTGAATTTATTTAATTTAATTATTTAAATTAATTTAATTTTTTTTGCAATTTGTAGTTAAATGTGAATTCTTTAAATAAATTGAGACATTTTCAATTAAATCTAATCAAGGTTAAAATGGAGAATTGATGTATAAAAGAAAAATAGAAATGTATTGTAATGATGGGAACATATAGTAATATTTTTGCATATGGAATGCAGTGGTTTTTTATGGGCAGGAAATGAAAAAGGGAGTGTCAACAAGTATTATTATATACTAAAAATTGTAGTGGGATTTTTTTAGCGCTAATAAAAATTTATCGAAAATTGCAGTTATTATTTGATTTACTAATTAAAATCTTATATTGTGCAGATGTTTTTGTTTTGCGATCGCAAGTTCAAAAGAGCTTTCTCATAGTTTGTTCTTGACCACAATTTTTTCATTGTTTGGTTATATTTTATCGAAACAATAGATCGATAACCGCAGGTTGAGATAACGGGCCTTAACTCTATTTTAAAATATTCTCGCGAAATTTGCTTTTCCAGTTTCCTCCTTTTAGAGATATTGGTCTTCTCCTCTGGGTTCTATTGTACTAAATAATTCTAAGTGATGTTTCGTAATAATCATTTGCATATATTTTGATTTGAAGCTTTTAACTGGTTGAGCTTATTCGGATCTTATTTAATCCCTCCGACTTTCTGCTCTATTGGTCCATTTAATTAGGCCCTACTGTATTTGTTCTTCTTTCTTAAGAGTGGATGAAAGGATCAATTTGCCTCAACATGAAATTTTTCAATTATAACTGACAATATTTTGGAAATGTTTCATCCCTACGGTCCTATCGAAAGGATTGAAATTTTCAGAAGAATTTTTAAGTCGATAACATTAAAGGGCCTGCAGATCCTAAACACTGGTACTTGATTTTAGTTTGGTTTTAGTCCGAAATGCTACAGAAAATTTAAAATCAAAAAGAAATTTGGAAATTTGCAGATCATAACCAATATACTTGAGATCTTACTCACGTAACTTCGTATCATTATGCATCCTAAAGTTTTAATCCGAAATGCTGCAGAGAATTTCGAATTGGAAATGCATGGATTAAACATATTCAGATATAATTCTCATTCTCAAAACTTCCATGTTAAATGCTAAGCGATCTATCATATTGCACTCACTTTTTGACTTTTATGGTCAGTTAAGTCTTGAAAGTCAGTCAGTCTATAGTCTAGACTATATATCATTCTATAGTTTTGTCTATAGATCAGTCTATAGTCTTGACTATAGATCAGTCTAAAGTGTTGTCAGTTCAGTTCTAGTTCAATTCTAGTTCAGTTATCGTTCAGTTCTAGTTCTAGTTCAGTTCTAGTTCAGTTCTAGTTCAGTTCTAGTTCAGTTCTAGTTCAGTTCTAGTTCAGTTCTAGTTCAGTTCTAGTTCAGTTCTAGTTCAGTTCTAGTTCAGTTCTAGTTCAGTTCTAGTTCAGTTCGAGTTCAGTTCTAGTTCAGTTCAAGTTCAGTTCAAGTTCAGTTCTAGTTCAGTTCTAGTTCAGTTCTAGTTCAGTTCTAGTTCAGTTCTAGTTCAGTTCTAGTTCAGTTCTAGTTCAGTTCTAGTTCAGTTCTAGTTCTATTCAGTTCTAGTTCAGTTCTAGTTCAGTTCTAGTTCAGTTCTAGTTCAGTTCTAGTTCAGTTCTAGTTCAGTTCTAGTTCAGTTCTAGTTCAGTTCTAGTTCAGTTCTAGCTCAGTTCTAGTTCAGTTCTAGTTCAGTTCTAGTTCGGTTCTAGTTCAGTTATAGTTCAGTTCTAGTTCGGTTCTAGTTCAGTTCTAGTTTAGCTCTAGTTCTAGCCGCTGTTTATCAAGAATAGCCCGAAATAATTTGCAAAAGTAAATGATCGAGAATTACTACACGAGATCAAAGGATATTGATCAAAATTGAGAACCGGAACTAGTTCTAATATCTTACATATACTATGAAGGGAATCTGTTTCAGTAAAATGACGATATCCTGCCAATTGATCTTGAGATCGTTTAGGTCGTTCTGTGATAACTGCTTGTGATAATTAGCTTGGATGGATTTGTTCGGTTTTTGGTTATGTGATCTTTGGGAATAGGAAGCGATCCTATTAGCACATTATTTAATGGAAATTTATTACATTAAACATTTTGATTTATGTTTGAATAAAATGATTTCGTTATTTCTGAATATTTCATAAGATTTGTATTCACCACAAAAATTATTAGAACTTTTGGGAATTTAAATAGCGATATCGAAAAAAATAATATTGAAAAAAGTTTATAAAAAAGTTCAATTCCTTTGAATAATTTTTTAAACTAATTTCGGATATTTCTTTCAATAACTATTTTAATTGAAATATCATGAACATGAGATCAGGAGATCAGCTTCACCACCTTTCGAACTTGATTTCAGAAATAATCGAGAACTTTCTCAAATATTCAGCACCTTTTTACGATATAATTTATATTTACTTTTCATTGATCTAAATTTCATTATACAACACCTGATCGTATATAATTTAAAACTATTACATGTTTTTTTTTATAAATTGATCAAACCTGGCCATCTGTTTTCTTAAAAAATGGGGCGGAAATTTGAAACAGTTTTTTCATTAATTTTATTTTTTATAAATTTAACACTCAATATATAATTTGTAAAATCTTATCAGTATTAAACTTTTTTTTGAAACACTTTTTTTACACCTTTAATATTTTAGCAAGTAATAAATAAAAATAATATTATTAAGAAATTAATATTTTATTATTATAAATTTATAACAACCTGCACTGAGTAGTCGATAAACGTTTATAAGAGCAAATCAAATTTTATAGACGAAAATTAACACGTCTGTTTCATTACGAAATTTGTAATAAGATAATCAATCGATCGATCGAACCTATTTACGAACCACGAAAACAAAAAAAGCATATCAACGAACAATGATTTTCGAAATTTCTATTTTTGAAGATTTTCTTCTTCTTATAATGGTTGTTGTTGTTGTTGCTTTTTATTTTAATTAATTGTTTTTTTCAATTGCACTCGATTATAGAATGAAAAAAAAAAAAAAAAAAAAAATCGAAAAAGGTCTTTTCAAAAAATAAAAAAAAAACTTTCGCTGCGTGTAAAAAACCCCAACAACAACAACTAAATACTACAACAAATCAACACTTTCGCAATTTTATAGTTTTATTTAAAAAATATTTTTCTCTACTTTAATTCTTTTATTTGTATTTTCTCGTTTTTTTTTTCAAATAATGTCCTTCAAATAATTTCAATTTTAAATTAATTCAATTATTGCATGTGCCTTATTACATAATTAGTTTTTTTTAAGAAATATTAAAATATACACATAATTTAATAATTCTCATTCAGTTTATAATTGATTTATACTATTTCCGCACAACACTTCACTTTATTTTATGAGTTTTTAAATAATTTTTATTACTTTTCTTGTTGAGTTTTTTTCCTTTAAAAAACATCTTACCTTTTAAATTAAAAAAAAAATATTAAAAAATTTCTAAAATTTGAATTTTCTTTGATTTAAACCGTTTTTTTCTGTTTTCTGTTTCACCGATTTTTTTTTCTTAATGCCTAGAAGCTTGTTACACAGCTGAACCTTCGAGTGTAACTGAACAGACTACAATCTATCCATGGTCAAGTTAAGGTTTATATATGAGCCGAATGCTTCACCCAATGCTGCTTCTTTTACTAATATTTGCACTTCGTTGAATGTGGTGAAATTCAGTAGGAAACTCTGTGAGTGTAGTGATAGTAGTTAGTGAGAATGAGATTGTATGAACTGTTTCTCTCAGAGATGGAAATGTGTGTTGGTTTTTTGGGAGAAGTTTTTATAGTTGTCTGATCTTTATACACTTCACCACAGACTACATATTAGAGTATAGTCTAGACTATAGTCCACAAATTATAGACAAAAGATCTAAACTATAGATTTCTATAGGCTAGACTGTAGTACACACTCCAAACTAAAGTATACTCTATAATCCAGACTATAGAATAAATGACAGACTAGATTATTGATTGCCCTAGACTAGACTATAGACCAGACTATAAACTAGACTATAGACTGGACTATAGACTGGGCTATAGACCAGACTATAGACTAGACTATAGACTAGGCTATAGACTAGACTATAGACTAGGCAATAGACTAGACTATAGACTAGACTATATAGACTAGACTATAGACTAGACTATATGGACTAGACTATAACCTAGACTATATAGACTAGACTATATAGACCAGACTATATAGACTAGACTATATAGACTAGACTATATAGACTAGACTATATAGACCAGACTATATAGACTAGACTATATAGACTACACTATATAGACTAGACTATATAGACTAGACTATATAGACTGGACTATATAGACTAGACTATATAGACTAGACTATATAGACTAGACTATATAGACTAGATTATATAGACAATACTATATAGACTAGACTATATAGACTACACTATAGACTAGACTATATAAACTAGACTATAGACTAGACTAGACTAGACTAGACTAGACTAGACTAGACTAGACTATAGACTAGACTAGACTATAGACTAGACTATATAGACTAGACTATAAACTAGACAATATAGACTAGACTATAGACTAGATTATTGATTGCACTCGACTAGACTATAGACCAGACTATAAACTAGACTATAGACTGGACTATAGACTGGACTATAGACCAGACTATAGACTAGACTATAGACTAGGCTATAGACTAGACTATAGACTAGGCAATAGACTAGACTATAGACTAGACTATATAGACTAGACTATAGACTAGACTATATGGACTAGACTATAACCTAGACTATATAGACTAGACTATATAGACCAGACTATATAGACTAGACTATATAGACTAGACTATATAGACCAGACTATATAGACTAGACTATATAGACTAGATTATATAGACAATACTATATAGACTAGGAGATATAGACTACACTATAGACTAGACTATATAAACTAGACTATAGACTAGACTAGACTAGACTATAGACTAGACTATATAGACTAGACTATAAACTAGACAATATAGACTAGACTATAGACTATACCTATAGACTAGACTGTAGACTAGACTATATAGACTAGACTATATAGACTATAGACTAGACTATATAGGCTAGACTATAGACTGGACTATATAGACTAGACTATAGACTAGACTAGAGATTAGACTATAGACTAGACTAGACTATAGACTAGACTATAGACTAGACTAGACTATAGACTAGACTATAGACTAGACTAAAGACTAGACTATAGACTAGACTATAGACTAGACTATAGACTAGACTATAGACTAGACTATAGACTATACTATAGACTATACTATAGACTAGACTATGGACTAGACTATAGACTATACTATAGACTAGACTATAGACTAGACTATAGACTAGACTGTAGACTAGACTATAGACTAGACTATAGACTAGACTATAGACTAGACTATAGACTAGACTATAGACTAGACTATAGACTAGACTATAGACTAGACTATAGACTAGACTATAGACTAGACTATAGACTAGACTATAGACTAGACTATAGACTAGACTATAGATGTAGACTAGACTATAGACTAGACTATAGACTAGACTATAGACTAGACTATAGACTAGACTATAGACTAGACTATAGACTAGACTATAGACTAGACTATAGACTAGACTATAGACTAGACTATAGACTAGACTATAGACTAGACTATAGACTAGACTATAGACTAGACTATAGACTAGACTATAGACTAGACTATAGACTAGACTATAGACTAGACTATAGACTAGACTATAGACTAGACTATAGACTAGACTATAGACTAGACTATAGACTAGACTATAGACTAGACTATAGACTAGACTATAGACTAGACTATAGACTAGACTATAGACTAGACTATAGACTAGACTATAGACTAGACTATAGACTAGACTATAGACTAGACTATAGACTAGACTATAGACTAGACTATAGACTAGACTATAGAAGACTAGACTATAGACTAGACGATAGACTAGACTATAGACTAGACTATAGACTAGACTATAGACTAGACTATAGACTAGACTATAGACTAGACTATAGACTAGACTATAGACTAGACTATAGACTAGACTAGACTACTAGACTATAGACTAGACTAGACTAGGCTAGACTAGACTATAGACTAGACTAGACTAGACTATAGACTAGACTATAGACTAGACTATAGACTAGACTATAGACTAGACTATAGACTAGACTATAGACTAGACTATAGACTAGACTATAGACTAGACTATAGACTAGACTATAGACTAGACTATAGACTAGACTATAGACTAGACTATAGACTAGGCTATAGACTAGACTATAGACTAGACTATAGACTAGACTAGACTATAGACTAGACTATAGACTAGACTAGACTAGACTATAGACTAGACTAGACTAGACTATAGACTAGACTATAGACTAGACTATAAACTAGACTATAGACTAGACTATAGACTAGACTATAGACTATGCTATAGACTAGACTATAGACTAGACTATAGACTGACTATAGACTAGACAATAGACTAGACTATAGACAAGACTTAACCATGGTACTGAATATAGTCAAGAGTAATGATTCCGCTATAGGTCATACTCGTTCCAAGGCTAGCCTATATTTCCCTACAGGTGTAAAAAAATGTTGATCATATTAATATTTCTATATTAAACTAAAATTCCCAGTTCTGTTTTGAGTAGCATTAAACAAATTCTCTCCAAATTTTCTTGAAACGCATGTGGAGGAGAATTTCATTATACTAAATGTTAGTATTGGAATTAAACTTAATTAAAAAGGAAATTAGTATGAATAAAATGTTTAAGTATGGCATTTAAATAATTACAATAATAATTTCTTATTTAAATTCTTGGCTCAATTAAAAGCCCAAACAAATAAAAGAAAAGTACAAAATCTTGAAAAAATACTGGAAACATATAAAAACTTTAAATAAAACTAACTAGTATTAACAAAAATGATTCAAGGAAATATATTTTTAATAAATTTATTAAAAATAGTAATAAAATTCTTTTCTAATGGAATATATTTTTCAAGTTATCTATCGCGCTCATATTTGTACACATTTAGCTATATATTTCTTTTATTGTTCTTCTCACCACTAAGGTGAATTTATTTTAAATTTCGTTAAATTCAGAAAATCGTAATTTCAAAATTTGTTGTTTTTTCGGGTTATTTTTCTGTTTTAAATTAGAAATACATTTTTTTTTAATTTTATTGTTTTACTTTTGTGTTAATTTTTTATTTTTCTTGTTGCTTTTTTTAACTAGCACAAGTCCAACTAAATTTAAATTCATTTTTTGTGTGTCTACTTCTTTTTCTTTTAAAATTAAATATTTACCAAAAATAATCAATTGTTTTCCTTAACAGAAACTGATTTTGTTATAGTTGTTTTAATTAATATTTATTTAAATTATTGATTACTTAAGTAATGGCTTTTAAAATGATACAGAAGTAAAGAAATAATAGATTTAAGTTATTTGTTTAAAAAACAAATATTTTTTAAATTATGAGAAGGAATACAAGACTACAGACTATACAATAATTCAAACAGTAGACTACATTAGAGTCCATATCATAGACCAGACTGCAGACTAGACTGTAGGCTAGACTTCAGACTAGACTGTAGGCTAGACTTCAGACTAGACTGTACATTATATATGGACTATAGACTAGACTATAGACTAGACTATAGACTAGACTATAGACTAGACTATAGACTAGACTATAGACTAGACTATAGACTAGACTATAGACTAGACTATAGACTAGACTATAGACTAGACTATAGACTAGACTATAGACTAGACTATAGACTAGACTATAGACTAGACTATAGACTAGACTATAGACTAGACTATAGACTAGACTATAGACTAGACTATAGACTAGACTATAGACTAGACTATAGACTAGACTATAGACTAGACTATAG